CATTGGAAAGTCATTGGCTTCGAGTGAGGAAAGTAATGGGGTTTTAAATACAGTAATGTTCGTGCGAGATAAAACCTAGGGTATTATTCCCGCTTTCAGCATTTGCTTAATGCTTTTCACCGTCAGAGAGTAAGAAAGGGAGACGGACAGAGAGATAGAGAGACAGAGGGTTGAGAGATTATCCAATGTTTATATGATGATTTTTGTATATACTCGAATTTTCAAGTGTTTACATGTGTGTGTGTTGATAGACAGGCAGTTAAATAGATAGATAGACAGAAATGATCATACAGTATATCAAGTTCTGAATGTATTAGGGAGAGGATTGTGATATGAATACAACATGTGTTACGAGCAAAGGAGAGAGAGAGAGAGAGAGAGAGAGAGAGAGAGAGAGAGAGAGAGAGAGAGAGAGAGAGAGAGAGAGAGAGAGAATAAGAAAGAGAGAGAGAGAGAGAGAGAGAGTTAATCAGAGAGAGAGAGAGAGAGAGAGAGAGAGAGAGAGAGAGAGAGAGAGAGAGAGAGAGAGAGAGAGAGAGAGAGAGAGAGAGAATCAGAAAGAGAGAGAGAGAGAGAGAGAGAGAGAGAGAGAGAGAGAGAGAGAGAGAGAGAGAGAGAGAGAGAGAGAGAGAGAGAGAGAGACAGACAGACAGACAGAGAGAAAGAGAGAGAGAGAGAGAGAGAGAGAGAGAGAGAGAGAGAGAGAGAGAGAGAGAGAGAAAGAGAGAGAGAGTGAATCAGAGAGAGAAAGAGAGAGAGAATCAGAGAGAGAGAGGGAGAAATAGGAAATAGACAGATACAGAGAAAATGATGGTAGTAAAAAAAAAAAAAAAAAAAAAATAGGAAGCAGGCAGATAGGAAAAAAGGGAAGTAAACACAGACAGAAAATAAGGAAAGAGACAGACAGAAAAATAAAGGGAGGTACACAGACGAAAAAAGGAGGGAAATAGAGACAAAGAAAAAAAAATCAGTAGAGAGAGACAGAAAAATAGGATAGAGGCAGAAAAAGGGAGGTATACTGAGAGAGGGAAAAAATAGGGAAATAGACATTGAGGGAAAAACAGGACAGTAAGCAAAAACAGAGAAACTTTAGAGACACAGACATAAAAAATGAACAGAGAAATAGAGATAGACAAAGAACTTTGTTAAGCTCATCAGAAAGATCAATACCCATTCAGAATAGTTCCGCAAGAGACACAAACGGATTGCAAAGGATTAAAGGTATGAAACAAATCAATTTTATGCATTGGACAGAGGTTTCTTTCATGATGCAGATATCTTGCTTGAATAATTCAAGATTAATTAATTCAGAACAGTAATCATACAAAAGTATTATAAAACTGTATGGTTAATGTTCATAATTTAATGATACATCAGAGTTCTGCATTCTCATTTCCCTTAGTGCCTGATGAACAGTAACTTACGAATATATATCCTTTTAAAGCAGCTTTGGGATGAATTCGTTTACCATTAATGATAGTTCCGGGTTATTGTTAAAAATATATATACATATACAATCGGATTAGAGGACAAATGTCTTGTAGCATATGTGAACCACTTCCGCAAAGTATCTTAGCGATAAAACGAAATAAGTTCTGTATTTTGCTGTGGTTACGAAATGTGCAAAGAAAAGAATAAAATAAAGAATAAAATGGAGAGAGAGAGAGAGAGAGAGAGAGAGAGAGAGAGAGAGAGAGAGAGAGAGAGAGAGAGAGAGAGAGAGAGAGAGAGAGAGAGAGAGAGAGAGGGGGGGGGGGAGTACAAGGAAAGAGAGAATATTAGAAACATTCTGTATACTTCTGTATACTTAAACATACTTCATATTGTAAAATTTCTTGTTAAAGGTTTGATAATACTGAAGCTTCTACATCAGGTTATATTGTCATTTCATAACAAAATATTTTATTGCCTGTCACATCATGCCTGCATCCTAAATCAAGAGTTGCAAGTTGCATTCATGATAGCAAGACCCAAATCACTTCGCCTTCTCTTATACAAATATTTCAAACCACTGTATTACGCCTTGGCATTTGAACTAAATAAACCTAACCTAATAGGTAAAGTGAGGCTAAATACTAATCAACATTTATTTCATTTATAGACAAAAGTGTGACAAATTATGTCCATCGAAGTCATTATAGTCATCCATTTATTTTTAAAATTCCATTGTTTCTGGCCCATTTTTTTATATATGTATTATACTAATAACATTTTGACAGATATGCCTGACAAAATCATTGCCAACCATATATTCTAAACTGACAAATACTTATGATTTTTTTTTTTTTTTTTTTTTTTTTTTTTTTTTGAAGTGTCATTCTTGTTAAAATGGGCACACGGACAATTTTGGGCTGGGTTTCAATCTGTCTCGCCCGGAATCTGGAACGTATGTACAAAAGTTGGAAAAAAAAGACGTAATTCGGAAGTAAATATGAGCCAGGTGTGAAATTTGGCTCTCGTTTTTTAATCATTTTTTTTTTTCCTTGGCCGAATGAATATATTAACCCTCTCTCCTTCCGCCTGACCTGGTACACAACTGACAGTCTTCAGTACAAGATAATATTAAAACAATCCCGTGTAATTCTCATTCCAACCTATATGTATAAAAAGTGATCAAGTAAAAGTGTTATATACTAAAAACCAGGGAAAGTGCACATTGAAACCCCAGGTACACGTAAGCGACTCACCAAATTTAAAGATAAAACACATGGTCATCCAAATACTATTTCACAAATTGATTCCGAACTCGTACATATATTCACGCAGAAGCTCGCAAGGGAAATAACATATACATACGTAACTCTCTCGTTTCCTTTATACTGTTAATACTATCATCCGAGAAAGGCATCAGAGATCGCAGGCCCAGTGATGAGGATGGCCAGGTGGACACAATAGACAGGTGTTTCCCACTCTTCTCTAATATAGTCAAGTGATCAGCGCCGAGGGTCAGTCACCTGTGGTAATTACTTTTTGTGACCAACACTGCGGTCGAGGGAAATGTGTGAAGGGACGCACATACACACACATATGTGTTTGTTATTTTCATTATGATAATATATGTAATATAGCATGATATTATATGTATATATATACATACATACACAGCGTGTATATGTGTGTGTGTGTGTGTGTGTGTGTGTGTGTGTGTGTGTGTGTGTGTGTGTGTGTGTGTGTGTGTGTGTGTGTGTGTGTGGGTGTGCCTGTGTGTGTGTATGTGTGTGCATGTGTGTGTGTGTGTGCCTCTGTGTGTATGTGTGTGTGCGCGTGTGTGTGTGTGTGCGCGTGTCTGTGCCTGTGTGTGTGTGTGCCTTTGTGTGTGTGTGTGTGTGTGTGTGTGTGTGTGTGTGTGTGTGTGTGTGTGTGTGTGTGTGTGTGTGTGTGTGTGCGCGCGCGCGCGTGTGTGTGTGTGTGTGTGTGTGTGTGTGTGTGTGTGTGTGTGTGTGTGTGTGTGTGTGTGCGCGCGTGTGTATGTGTGTGTGCGCATGTGTGCGTGCGAACGTGTGCGTGCGAGTGTATGTGTCTGCATTTTCTCTCTCTATCATTTAATCTATCTTTTTAACAGATAAAAGTACACTCACACGCATTCACACATTGTTGTATTTACGAACTCTGGCTCAATAGTGAATATGGGAACGTGATGAGTTTATTGAACTTTTCAGCTGATACCAGTCGTAAAATTATGCGATAGAGGTTATTTCTATAATATAAAAATAATTTCAGTAATGAAATGCTGAACGTGCGTATTTCTTTAAATATGTGATTTGTAATATAATTGTATTTTTTTTTCCAACGTGTCCTATATAGAATTAGATTAATATAAAGACCACTATAATTTATCAAATGGTACAAAACCCTATAATTAATCAAATTATGGAATAAAACCGTAACCAAATTCTTATATATTTCCAGTTATGCAAAAAAAAAAAAAAAAAAAAAACGATGATAAACGAGGTACAATATATACACTTAATGACAATAACATTATAGCACAGTGCATGAAGCTAAAATGTGCAACGACTTTAAACTATGACTAACGAACACAATTAGCTTATAAAATGATAGGATGGGAATCACTGCGTCTGTTATCACAGTTCCATTTTTTTTGTGATCTTTTGTGTAAATGAATTGTAATTAATTTTCTTATTCGTATTTTCTAGTTTTCATTATCTTTTTTGCTTGGTTCTATGTGATGAATATGCTCTTTGAATTTGATCTCACTGTTTTCATTTCGTATTTTATTTATTCATCTTTGTTAATATATATATATATATTTTTTTCTATCTTTCTTCTCTTTTCTATGTCTTTGTTCATATTTTTTTTAAGTGTTATCTTTTTGCAATTTCCACTGTCTTTCTTACGTTCTTAAAATTCTCTTTTCTTTCCTCATTGAATTACCATCCTCATTACCACTTTTTTCCTTACATAAACTCTCTCACTAACTCACTCTGATTTTCCTTTTTTCCTTCTTCATAAATCATCATCATTATTATTTTTTTTTCCTTTTTCATCACGGATCAATTCCTCTCCTTTCTTCCCATCAGCATCATCATTGCTACTATTTGTCATCATAGATCAATGACATCTATCCTCTCTCCCTTTCTTAATAGATGATTAATATCATCGTATATATAAATATATATTTTTTTACATCCATCTTTTTCTCACTTCCTTAATAAATTATCGTCATAATATCCATTTTTTTTCTTCTTCTTCTTAAATAATCGTCAGAATCGCCAATCTTTTTTCTTTCCTTCTTCTTCTTCTTCTTAAATAATCGTCATAATCGCCAATCTTTTTTTTTCCTTTCTTCTTCTTCTTTTTAAATAATCGTCATAATCGCCAATCTTTTTTTTTCTTTTCTTTTCTTCTTAAATAATCGTCATACTCGCCAATCTTTTTTTTCCTTTCTTCTTCTTCTTTTTAGATAATCGTCATAATCGCCAATTTTTTTTTTTCCTTTTTTCTTCTTCTTCTTCTTAAATAATCGTCATAATCGCCAA